CTGGCATTGTGGACAGAACAGTAATGCACGGAACACAGCGTGTGAATGGAACAGTAGACATGTGGATGTCATACAGTATTGGTGGGAGCTGAATGAAAAGGTTCCATTTTTGCTGTGCAGGACATGACAGAGCACACCTGCTGCAGAGTGAGGCCCCACTAAAGGATACCCGTGTTCGCACTACCCCCCCCAGGCTGCACGGGTGGGTGTGGCGGAGAGGTGGGGGGCCGAGGAGAGACGAGGAGGGCTGGCGAACCTTGCCTCCCACCTTGTTCCCGGAGGCGGATGATCTCCGTGTCGGACCCAAAGCTATTCCAGGCCGTGCAGTTGTAGATGGTCTGGAAATCGGCGGGCACGATGTTGTTCATGGTGAGGGTGGAGATGACGCCCTCCTCTGTGCTGACCGTCTCCACCGTGTAGCGCCCCCATGTGCCCGACTCCAGTACTGTCTCCTTCCAGGACCACGCCTGCCACAAAGAGCTACTGTCTGCCTGGATGTTACACTCATTCACCGAGATGCAACCATCACTGGTACCGCAGTTGGCGGTACAGCAATAGTCACCTATAAATGCAACGACTTCTATTGATTAACATCAACCTGAAGAATTCCATCTCTCTGACTACCCCCCAGAATAGTACATCAAATCAAAATGGCTTCTTCGACAACCAAGAAACAAGACAAACAAGAAAAGTAATTTATAAACAATCAGTACTGAAGAATGCATTTTAAATTTATTTAAACTGGCACGCTTCAAATTTGTCTCACATGTCTTGGGTACACTGTAATAAAAAGCAGCAGCAGTGCAGAGTCCTACCGCTAACCAATCACAGTGCTCATCAGCAGTGCAGAGTCCTACCGCTAACCAATCACAGTGCTCATCAGCAGTGCAGAGTCCTACCGCTAACCAATCACAGTGGTCATCAGCAGTCATGCCCATGGAGGGAGCAGAGTGGGCGGGGCTACTCACGATGCGGTCTGGGGGGGGCGTGCTGCGGATGAAGCACTTGATCTGGCCCTTCTCCCCCTGCAGGGCTTGTTGCGTCTGTGTGCTGGAGATGGTGGGGGGGCCTGGAGAGGGTGTGGGTAAACGTGAGGAGGGGCGGGCAGCATGCCAGTCGCACACGGCATTCACGGGCCCCTCATAAAGCTGTATATGTGTGGTTATAACTTACAGTCGTCCCTCCTCATCTGCGGTTCCGTTTCGCGCGGAATCAGTTAGCCATGGTTAACCGTGGTCCGGAAATATTCAATGGAAAATTCCAGAAATAATCCATAGGTTTTAAAGTGCGTGGCGTTTTGAGTAGCGTGATTTTGTGCTGTCCCAAGCAGAGGCGGGGGGGTTCACCTTAAGATTGCGTCAGAGAGTGAGGCCGAGTTCTTAGAACTGGGGGGGGGGGGGGGGGGGGGGCAACAGCCAAGGTAACGTGCTAGAAGTCTGCGATCTGCCGGCCTGCCTCTCAGGAATCTTCCAGGATGGAGTATGAACAGGAAGTCTGTCATCTGGCGGGGAGGGGTTATGGGGTCTGATGCCGAGTCGAGACCATGAGGGGGCGCTTTCTGATGCCTGCCTTCCCGGTGCCTTCCTAACCATCCATAATTAGCGTTTATTACCTGCCTCCAATTATGCCTCATTTGCATTTTAATGAGATCCTGACAGTCTCTGTCGGTCTGATATGGAGGGGGGGGGGCTTCCGTAGGGTAGGGGAGGACCCCCACAAACTTCCCAAACCTGTCGCTGATTACTCAGGCCTAATTGGGGGGGCGGTCAGTACAG